AGAGTGCACTCGCCTGGTTCAGTGGCTGGCTAGAACAAATACATGACATGGAGATGACTTGTTGACTCCACATTGCCCATGTCTGTGTAGAGTACATGGGGCTAAAGAGGGGCAACCACCATCATCAGGAATCGTGAGGTCAGCAGAAAATCAAACATGTTTGAAATTCAGTCAGCCACAATAAGGTGGTCGTGGGCAAATCACTCAGTGACCAAACAAGGATTCTTCTTCTTCTTCTCAGATAAAAACACAGCAGCATGGCGGGAGTGTGAATGGAATGGAGTTCTTTCTGTAAAACTGACAGATTGTAGTAGCCACGTTTGCTCAGCCATGTCTTTGTCCAAATACTTTGTTGCCTTTTCTTTTTAGGGCTTTCAGCACAAAATTGCACAAATTGCCAAGGCAGCATGTTTCACTCTAGTGAGCTTCATGTTCCTCTTCTACTGGTTTAGCTTCCAGATAGACAAGTCCGAGTAGCGCCATCACACTGCGGAGCTGAGTCCAACATGGTTTTTAGACGTACAGTGTGAGCAGGTAGATCGCATCAGAGCGTTGGGCCGCAAAGTGTGAGAACACACATGTTGATCTGTGAACCTTTAAACCCTGTGGTTTTATCGTACAGTGTGAGCTGTAGCTGCGTGCAACGATTGAAAATATCTCACAGTGAATGCTCGGCTATAGAGTGGATTCGACAGCTGCAGAAGGTCCAGAATGCTGCATGCCTGGATCTTCACTAAAACTAAGTAAAGAATATCAGCCCAGTTCTAAAGTCCTTCTATGTGGTAAAGCAAAACAGAAAAAGATGTATTTTTCTGTAATATTGAAAAATAAATGATTATCTTAAGCTTTTTGATCTATTCTGATCTGCAGATCAAACACAAAGAAACTTCCTTGCAAAGAAAGTTAACTGTGTTTGATCCTTTCTTTCTTTCTTTTTATAAGCACCAATAAAACTAGAGGCACACAATTCTAAGTTGTAAACATGTAGTAAAAATGATGTTTGTAGCTTTGGTAGAACAGGAACCTCCTCCATCTGAGGAAACATCTGCAGTGTTGGTGCGTGCTTGGTCAGCAGGACTGTGAGTCTAAGGTTAAACACCACTGAGTCATCCTGCAGGAGATTCCTCTGTGCAGACGCAAGGACCAGACACAAAACAGAACAGCTCATTCTAAACAGAGAGAGAATATTGACAGAAATAGTTTCAAAGTAAAAAGTCTTCAGATAGAATAATCTGGATAGGAGTCTGTTTTCAGTGTTCTCACCTGGCTTTACAGTGGATAAGATAACATCTAAAGTCAGATGAAACCTGTGGGAATAAGAAAAGCTGCTGGGGTCTGGGAGTCTGAGGGGGAGTCTGGTCTGCTTTTTGCGTCAGTTACTAGAAACCACTGAGAGAGACTCGGGTTTCAGGGCTGCTGTCTTCTTGACTGATGTGTCTTTAATCTGTGTGAATCCTAATCTCGCCCCATGCCATCAAGGAGCCACGCCCTCTCAGAACCCAGCAAAGGACAAATATTTTCCCATATCTTTCCTATCTTAGCTTCTCTTCATTGGCTTCCTGTTGAATCCAGAATAGAATTT